GTTCCAACTCGATGGCACCTGACAACAACAACAACAGTGTTGTATATAGGTTCATATTGCTGTCACTAGCAATCTGTCTATGAGGTTATATACCCAGACACAACTCAGCGAATGTTATATAAAGGAAAACAGAAATGATGTACACCACTTAGTATTTTGATATCTTCAGTTAAGATTCTAATACTTTAGAACAGCCAATTAAAAAAATTATGTTCCAGTATTATTATAAAGTATTAGATTTTATTTAAAGATTCCAAAATACCACCTCATACAATTCCGAGTTTATTTTATACTGTTTTGTTGCTAAATTTCTTTTTATTGAAACTTTTATTTAAAGGGGTAGAACTTATGCTCTGGTTTAATTCTTTGTCCTCTCTCTAATTACTAAAGTGATATTTTCGAAATTGTTAAATGCTTATTTACCTTTCTGATTACTAATGTATCTTTTTTATGTTAAAGCCTCTGGATGTGGACAAAGATTCATCCCTGGTAACACTTTGTTATGGACTCTGTGTCCTGGGGCGGAGAGCTTTGGGAACCGCATCCCACCATATGTCTAGGTATGGGAGACATTTCTATTTCCAGAAAGAGAATGTGAATAGTCATATAACTTAGATTTTGTATAATCTTGCATTATATGCAAATTTATTGCAAAATTCTTTTCAAGCCGATATTTTGCTAAACATAGATAATGAGCTTTATTAACTGGTTAAATGAACTTGGCTTTTAAAATTCATACATATATGTGTGTGACTATTAATGAGAATTTAATTTATTTAAGGCAGTTAAAAAAATAATCACACCATAAAATTTTATTGCTATACCATTTGTATTTGTTTTTCGTACTTAGAATTTACCTATTTTTATTTTTCCATATTCTCTTGTAGCCTTTATATAGAACATTCATAATTTTTAAAGTTGTACATTAAATTTTGGACTATTTAGTACAAACAGAATTTCTTGACATTCATCAAGGACTAGCTGATATTTTAACTGTGATCACTACATGATTTCCATTAGGCCTTCCTTTTTTTATTTTAACATATAGGTTATTTATCTTTTGTTTATTTTTATGGACTCAGTATTATGCAAGTGTTCATAAGCAAGGGTCCTAGGTCAGACTGACCCTATCCTTGTCATTCTGCTTTAGCAGTTCTGACATTAATACCTGGAATCTCTTAGTTTCAAAATGCTTCCAGATGATTCTAATACACAACCAGATGTAAGAATCAGTGTAGTGAGAGACCTTTCACTGTCAAAATTTATAAATCTTTATCTCCAATCTTCACAGTAATTTAGAATCATTCCTCTATGGATTACATGCCCTATTTAAGGGAGATTTCCGTATTTCTTCAATTCGAGATGAATGGATCTTTGCTGACATGGAATTGTTAAGAAAAGTAGTAGTTCCTGGAATACGTATGTCCATTAAACTTCACCAGGTAAGAAGTTAAGATTTCTAATTACAGGTTTTTACTGATAATTTTTCACTTTACTGTTCAAATTATATGTTTCTTTGGAACCTTTTTTTTTTTATTAAATGTTTTATTGTGAATTATATGATAGCTTACATGGGAGAACATTAGCTTTACATTCATCCTATCGTATATCATTTCATTGCCATGATTACAATCTCCTCCATGCATCATCAACCAAACAAAGGGTATACCCTGTAAGTTTGCCCCCAGTCATCTGCACACAGCCCCTCTGCCACTCTAGGTCTAAAGTCCCCTGCTGCTCCAATTTCTCCATGTCATTGTCTTTACCTCCTTCTCTTGCCTCATTGCTTCTCTGGGTCAGGTCCTGCTCTCTGCTCTTCTACCTTGATGGTCCCAGGGACCTCTGCTCCTAGACTGCAAAATCAATCACTCC